GCAAGCTGAACGAGGTGGAGCCGCGGGCGTAAGTGGCACTGGCGGCCTCGAACTGGGCATAGAACTGCCCGAAGGAAAAAGCAATGTAGGAGGATCATATGGACCAGGTACCCCACAGGATCCACATACGCCACAGAACACACCCACGTCCCCTAGCCCTGATGTCCCTGACCTAACCGGCGATATCCTTACCGCCACTACTCCCGTACTCTTCTTCCTGTCCGCCGTCACCGTCGCCCTTCTTGGTTATTCCCTTTGGAAGGTAAGTATATACGGAATACCGCATATGCGTATCCGCAATATGTACCATAGACAAATGTGTTCCTAACGGGGTCTGTTGTACGATCATTCTAACACAAATGCACTATTCTACATCGTCCTTCTTCTTTTTTTTTGCTTAGTACTTTGCGTACCTCGGACAAACACGACGACGAACGTATCGAACCGTTCGTGACGTGCCGTCACCGCCACTCGACGAAGAAATATTGCAACATCTACAACGACGCGTGCCACCACCCGATTACGGGTACAAAATGATTAAGGATACGCACCCTGCGTCAACATCCGGTACAGGACGCCCACCACGCGTGCATAAACGCACCATCATCGAGCTAGATCTAGAAGTGCTCCACGAATGTGAAGCAACCGAGTGGGAAAGCGTCAAAGACCACTATTTGCAGATACTTGTGGAGGAGTTTGCGCGCGACTTGCAGCAGGACGCAAAGGGGTATAGTAGTTTCCCGGATGCTCCTACCACAAACCAGGATTTATTAGGAAACAATGTTTCCTCCACCGTGGATCCACCCACTGACACCGCTGTAACGGATCCATGTCCACCACATGACCCCGATCCATGGAGTTGTATGGAAGCCATAGAGTTAGCAACGGACCCTTCTGCTTCTGACGCCGATGACCCCGATCCATGGCGTTGTATGGAAACCATACAGTTACCAACGCACCCTTGTCCACCACATGACCCCGATCCATGGAGTTGTATGGACACCATACAGTTAGCCAAGGCCCTTGGTCCACCTCATGACTGCGATCCATGGAGTTGTATGGACACCATACAGTTAGATGCACAAAAGCGTCGTGCTCATTCCAACCACAGGGAGGCGACGTCGGCGTGCACCCAATGGATTAACTGGATTGACCGCCACAAACATATTCTGCGGGCGTGCACGACGCAACCGTGGCTTTTGCAACTAAAGTCGGCATGGAAACAATACCTGCGTGAGCACATGGCGGCAAACGAGGACAACGTGCATCGTGAACTCAGTGAACAAAGAAGTATTGGATGTGTGGAAATGAAGAAAGATGCCTGGAAAAAGTGGGTCGTGAAGCAACATCACGACATGGCAAAGTATATCGAAAACGATTGGTTCAGGCATTTGTTAGAAAATATCGACCAGGAGACAGTACCGGACAAAGGCGCAGTACCTCCAGTAGACAAAGTAATGGGAACAGAAGACACACTAAGAGTGAGAGATTTGCCGCAGCCGCAACCACTGCATGAGGATTCCTACAAGCAGACACAACTAATAGCCAAATTGTGGATGCTAATCCTCGCATTCGTCATAGAACAGTGCGAGCTAGAAAGCCGCCTGCAGGAGAAGGAGTTATATGTAGATGAACTATTGGATCACCTGTGACATTAGGTTGACGGGGCATATGCATGCGACATAACGCATGCTGCCCGTAGACCACTTTTACTTCATTATGTGATATACATCATATATTTCTTGTTTGTACTATTCCATACGTTCTTTTTTTTTCTCTGCTCTCTTCTGCTCTCTTCTGCTCTCTTCTGCTTACTTGTGCTTTGTTTTGTTCTTTTTCTGTGTAGTCCACTTCTTTTAACATGACCATGGGCACACGGTGGTACACGTCAAATGCATAAAAAATGTAGCTTTACATGAATAATATGACGGGGTAGTATTCTGCTTTATGTGAAGTTAATTATTAACAGATGCGCACGTGCATTCTACGGGTATAGTGCAGAACAAATATAGAATGCGAATAAGCATTCGAGTATACGGAGCGCTTGTCTCTCCGAGCACACGCGGCCGCGTAAACCGCATCGTAGCCGAGTGTAAGAAGGTACACATTGTCTCTCCGAGCAACCGCGTCGACCAAAGCGGCCGGTCCGAGTAAGCAGGATTCGACGAAGTAGCCGAGTGTAAGAAAGGAGGGAGACATTGTCTCTCCGAGCAAACGTGGCCGGGTACGCACGATTAGACGCCGTAGCCGCGGGAGGGACGGCGACCACGCCGGCAGCAACGACGCCAGAAGTCTTGATGTTTTTGTTATTACTGCGGTTTGTAGGTGTACGCACACAGAGACAGTGTGTGTGCAGGCGTTTCGAGAAGACCGGTGTAGACTGGCGTATTCATGAAGGTGAGTAGTGTTTTTCCTATTTTTCATTTGTTTTTCTTTTTTTATTTTTTTTATTTTTATTCGTTTCTCTTTGCTTTTTATTCTTCTTACATATGTCTTATTTTCCGTCTATTTTGTTCCTCTAGAATGTTAGATATTACCTAATGTAGAATGGGAATTTATATAGGCAACATTTTGTTAAAGATTAATATGTATTAAGGGCAACAACAGCAGGGTCTTCCTTTTCCTTGTGTATTATAACCATATATTATACAACTGTTCTAGTAGCTCCTACCTGATGTTACGCACATAGAACACATTATTCAGTGCGACAGACAGGCACAAGTAGCACGTGGCCACGGAAGGCACCATCGGAATAGGAAGTTCAGGATTTCTGAAGTATTGAGTGGACGCATGAAAACCTTAATAACTTGTTATGGGATTTTTCTGGCGCTGACACATGCAAGATGAGTTCACACAGTCCGAACTATACGACTGTGGAGGCATTTATTGCACATGTATTGGCCACATGGGCCAGGCAGAAAGGGAGGTTCACGACGGAGAAGTTTAACGTAAGTGTGAAGGAGTAGGAGTAGAGGGAGCGCAGGAGTTGCATCACGCACATTCTTCTGTCAACGGGGACACATGGGGTAGATGGCGCACCCGAAGTTTACCGTTTATATATACTCGTTGAGGTTGTTCCATATATTCACTGTAGGCGGGGCTATGGGAAATTATTAAGGGACTATTGGAGGAATTTGTACAGCATATGGAAGATAAGGCAGCTAGGGGTCTAATAGACGTACTGGGTGCGAACTGTGATAATGTCTTTTGGGATCATAGGGACGACAGTAAGGCTTACTTAAAAGATTTTACGGAGCAAGACAGAGTAACGTGCAGGATCATGTCCGCTGCATTAACGTTCATGAGTACAGTACGCGACGCAGGGCAACTTGGACAAACGAGGAATGAAACTGATAAGGACATGAGACAAATTTTAGGGTGCACGGTGATGCATGTATTTGCGAGTATCTTAAGATCTACCACGTGTGCGGCTACGTCGAACGGCATAAATTATGCGTGGAGGACAATGAAGAGGGTAGATGCCGGGTTCCGGGACACAGCAGGTGCGGGCGCACTTGCAAGCGCAAGATGCGAGAAAGGCGGTTGGAAGGGATTAACAATAGGTAGCGGACAAATTAGAACAGCAGTGGATGCGTGGTTATCGCACAATACGGACTTATGGACCAAACTGAGGCAACTGCATGGCAATGAGAACTGTAGACGCAACAAGTCAAACAACGATGAATTAGCAACAGGAGCGAAAGTGGGTCAAGGGGCAGGTGTCACCGGCAGTGCTGGCATTGCGAAAGAAATAGTGACAGTGGTGAAGGACGTATTCGACAAGATGAAGGACGACGTAATAGAAAAATCCAAGTCATCGCCAGCACTACCAGGAGCAGGTAAGGGCAGAAAGCATGCGATTCGTAAGAATACAAATGCGCGGCCGCACGCGGACCGTGCGGTACCGATACGGCTAAATATGGAAGGCCACAACATGCACGCGGCGACAACACAACAACACGCACACACGGCGGCGACGACGGCAACGCAACGGCCACAACAACACGCAAGCGGTAACAGCACAGCAAACTACTTCGCTCCTGCTTTGCTGCCCCACTTCGCTGAGGACTTCGCTTGTGCGATGAGCGGCGACGACGAGTATGTAGCGGTGACGACGCACCGCAGACGAGATGACGGCGACAACAAATAAAAGTTGTACTGCTACCATCTAGCCCAAGTTCACCGAGTACGCAGTCCATCGAGTCGACCCGACCGTACCACACCCCGCCGACCATTTCCTTCCTTTCGTTTTCTTTTCTTTCTTCTTCTTCTAACACCGTCCCGCCCCTACCGTGCCGCTACCACACCGTCCCGCCCCCCTTCTTTCTGTACCACTTGTGTCCCTTTTTTTTTTTATCATCTTTCTCATCCATCTTTCGTACATCCCTCATTACAGGCGCAGCGAAACCGGCGGCCACCAACCCAGCGACGACGAAGCCGCCGACAAAAGGAGACAACCCGCAGGACAAAAAGAAGGAGGACATACCTGCGCCACCAGCACCCGGGGGAGTAGCAAGAGCAGATGGCTCAGCAGCAGAGGACGTCGCCAAGTCACCACCAGCCACAGGAGGAACACCAGCAGGTCAAGGACCAGGACCTGGACAACAACCCCCACCTCCTCCACCACCACAGCAAGGGACGGATGCAGACAAAGCAGGTAAGTGTCAAAGTAAACCTACAGTTTCCGTGACCAAGAATGCAGGCCGCGGCCTGCCTGCTTCTTCGTCAGAGACGCTTGTCTCCTTTGGAACGAGTTCCGGCACAGAGGATGAATGTGGGAAGAAACCCGAAGACCCACAAGAAGGTAGTGTCCTGCGTGAATATCGACATAAAAAAAAAAGAAACCACAATTTTCCGGAGATAACAGGGCGAGACAACGCAGAGAGCGAGCAACCAAACGTCGAATGAGAATGAGGCGGGCCAGAGAGACCGCCGCGGCTGACCGCGCCAGCCGCTGGATGTAGACGTAGAGACATAGACGTCGACAGAGACACACACACTGTGTGTGTGTGTTGTGTGTGGCAGAGAGAGAGTCTTTTCCCGGGTGCACCGTAACCACCCTGCCCCGGCAGTCCTCCTGCCCCGGCAGTCCTCCTGCCCCGGCAGTCCTCCTGCCCCATCCCTGCCTCGTCACCCGAGCGGCGGTCACCCGTGAAACGACCGCACGCACCAACCGTGTGGCCTACCGTGTGGTCAACGGACCGTGCTCGATCCACGTGTAGCCGACGGTGTGCACAACCATCCAGCGACGGACCGTGGTCAACGCAGCATGATCAACCACCGTGAACCATGGGCCCAACCAACTCGTAAAATTTCAGTTTCATGCATATTCTTTTCGTCCTTCTTTCCGCTTGAACTTATAGGTGAACATGTTAAAAGAAGTAAGGACGCATCGGAGCCAGCGCGAGCAGGGTCCACAATAGCAGAAACAACGGACAAAGACGGAGGTGCGCACGCGTCCACTCCAATCCACACACAGCCGACACCAACACCATCAACAGGAACAGAGACAGCAGGAACAGGAGCAACTACGGGAACATCTGGTGATGGTGCCAAGGGAGACCCTGGTACTGCGCAGACTGTTCCGGTGGCGCCAGATACTACGGCACCTAAACCGCACGATGACGATCGCGCCACAAAGGGCACAGATATTGTTTCCGCAGCGAATGGTGATAATAATACGGATCCTTTCGGTAGTGCCGATTACTGCATGGTCGATGGGAAAAAGAAAGACGACGACAGTGAACAGTGTCATGCAATAATCGGTGGGGGCCGACGTGCAGCCAGCACTAGAACTGGTGCTGCAGGTGCTCCTACAGGACCAAGTGGGCAAGCTGAACGAGGTGGAGCCGCGGGCGTAAGTGGCACTGGCGGCCTCGAACTGGGCATAGAACTGCCCGAAGGAAAAAGCAATGTAGGAGGATCATATGGACCAGGTACCCCACAGGATCCACATACGCCACAGAACACACCCACGTCCCCTAGCCCTGATGTCCCTGACCTAACCGGCGATATCCTTACCGCCACTACTCCCGTACTCTTCTTCCTGTCCGCCGTCACCGTCGCCCTTCTTGGTTATTCCCTTTGGAAGGTAAGTATATACGGCAATCACGGAATGCCGCATGTGCAGGATGTTTATACGTCAGAAACTCCCTACGGGCTGCAATATATGATCGTTCTAACACACATGTACTCCTACACCCTCGTTCATTCCTTTTATCCTACCGTCCTCACCCTCCTCTTTACCCCCCTTTTTCTGCTTAGTACTTTGCGTACCTCGGACAAACACGACGACGAACGTATCGAACCGTTCGTGACGTGCCGTCACCGCCACTCGACGAAGAAATTCTAGAGCATCTACAACGCGGCGAACTGCCGCCACCCGATTACGGGTACAAAATGATTAAGGATACGCACCCTGCGTCAACATCCGGTACAGGACGCCCACCACGCGTGCATAAACGCACGATTATCGAGCTAGATCTAGAAGTGCTCCACGAATGTGAAGCAACCGAGTGGGAAAGCGTCAAAGACGACTATTTGCAGATTGTCGTGGAGGAGTGTGCGCAGGAGTTGATGCGGGACGTGGACACGAATAACAGTATCTTGCATGTTCCTAACTCGCACGCCTCTGTAACAACCCACGATTCGACAACCGACCATTCGACAACCCTGGATTCATGTCGACCTAACGAAGAGGACCCCGATCCATGCAAGTGTACGGAAACCATACTGTTAGCAACGGAACCTTGTCGACCTACGGAAGAGGACCCCGATCCATGCAGTTGTATGGAAACCATACATACAGACACAGAACAGAGTCCCTCTACTGGTTGCGGGCATGCGACGTCGGAGTGCACCCAATGGATTAACTGGATTGACCGCCACAAACATATTCTGCGGGAGTGCACGACGCAGCCGTGGTTTTTGCAATTAAAAGCGGATTGGAAACAATACCTGCGTGATCACATGGCGGCAAACGAGGACAACGGAGTATCCGCGCACAGTGAGTTCGGTGAAGCGGCAACCCTGGACAGGAAGAAATTGGATGCATGGAAAGAATGGGTTTCCCAACAACATCGGCAAATGAGTATGTATGGCCAGGAGGAGTGGTTCAAGCATTTGTTGAATAGTGTAGAGGCGGAGACAGTGCCGGGCAAACGCGCAGTACCTGGAGTTGCAACAGACGTAGAAGTGCAACAAGTAATGGTCGCAGAAGATATACTCAGAGTGAAAGTTGTACCATGGTCGCAACTGCATCCGCAACTGTACCTCAACAAGCCGCTATGCGCTAAAACATGGATACTGCTCCTGGCATTAGTCATAGAACAGTGCGAGGTCGACAGAAGTGTGCAGGAGAAGGAGTTATATGTAGATGACCTATTGGAAAAGCTCTGACATTCGCATGACGGGGCATATGCATGCGGCATAACGCATGCTAACCGTAGACCACTTTTACTTCATTACGTGATATACATAATATATTTCTTGTTTGCACTATTCCATACGTTCTTTTTTTTTTTCTGCTCTGTTCTGCTTAATTCTGTTGCTTTCTTTTTACATGTGCCTTGTTCTGTTCTTTTTCTGTGTAGTCCACTTCTTTTAACATGACCATAGGAACAGGTGGGCACCGGTCACATACATATAGAATGTGGATTTAAATGAATAATATGAAGGCGTAGTATTCTACTTTATGTGAAGTTAATTATTAACAGATGCGCTCGTGCATGCTACGGGTATAGTGCAGAACTAATATAGAATGCGCATACGCATTCGAGTATAAGGACAGCTTGTCTCTCCGAGCAAACGCGTCGACCAAAGCGGCCGGGTAAACGCGATTGTCCGAGTGACGCCGTTGGACGAAGTCGCCGAGTAAGCATTGTGCCGCGTGTAAGAAAGGAGGGAGACATTGTCTCTCCGAGCAAACTCGTCGAGCAACGCGGCCGAGTGTAACACGGATTAGACGCAGTAGCCGAGTGTAAGAAAGGAGGGAGAGATTGTCTCTCCGAGCAAACGCGTCGACCAACGCGGTCGGGTCAAGCAGGATTCGACGAAGTAGCCAAGTGTAAGAACGCAGGGAGCCATTGTCTCTCCGAGCAAACGCGTCGACCAACGCGGCCAACTGTAACCAGGGTTCGACGAAGGATTGTCCGAGTGTAAGAAGGTACACATTGTCTCTCCGAGCAAACGCGGCCGCGTAAACCGCATTGTAGCCGAGTGTAAGAAGGCGCGCGATTGTCTGTCCGAGCAAACGAGGCTGCCACCATACGCAAACTCACCACTAGACCAAGAAACAAACAGTACAGACAAGCCGATGGCGGATGATGTAAGTTGAATTATAACACACGAAACGTATTGGGAAACAGCAGGATGAGTGACGGCATAGATAAATTTTGTTTACACCGGAGTGAGCACAGTGTGGCCACGCAGGAGGTCCCGGTATGGTGTACATAGACATATGGCATAATGGTTGTATTTCTTTTTTTGTTTTCCTTTTATTCGTCATGTAGGATAAATTATGGGACAGTGCTGAAGGTAAAAATTTTATTTCAAAGCTAAGGGTAACGTGGGTCCAACAGTATGGAGCGGGAGGCTCCCAGACAGACACACAAATTAATGTAAGTGCACAAAAATATGGTGGAGGCATATAGGGGTAAAACGAATGCAACGTGGTGTGGGGTACCATGTATATAGAACAATGCATATGTGGTATAATGTTCCATGCACGAGCAACAAGGGAGACGGTATAAGCTATATATATATAAATGTATGTTCATCCCGTTCATTTTGCACAAAACAGAAAGCGATGTGGGATAAAATGGACAAATTGAAAAATGAGATTGCGAAGAATATGAAAGGGGACAAGGATGAGGACGACGGCATACCAGAAATAATGTGTGGTCAGGTGGAGGGGCACAATGGCGTAAATTTCGCTGAGAAGCAGAAAAAAATGTGCGCATTACTACTAAGGTTAATGTTCTACATAGAAGGTTTAAACGGTGATGGTTCAATAGTCCATGAAGGAGGGGGTAACACAAGTATGAACCAGTTAGAAGAAGGAATGAAATGTATAATAGGAAGTGTATATATACAGAAAATAATGCAGCTGGCATGCTGGGAGCAGCGTATTCGCGACCATGCACTGAACGCCGTGGACGGACATGTAAATGAAATGCTAACAGGAAGACCAAGCAGAAGCAGGCAGTGTGTGCATTGGGAATTTGGGAATACATGCGTAGGGGGTTTTATTCCTGAATCGAAAATTACGCAATGGATGGTGGACGATAGTAGTGTTACGCAACGCGCGCAGGGTGCCGGAAACGGTTCGCGGTGTCAAGCGACCGAGTGGACAAAGAGGACAACGGAAATGAGGGAAAAGGCGCAGACAGGGATCAGTGGTACTGCATGTGCAGGAAGTCACGGCAACGTACAGTTGCAAGGTAACAGCCTGTTGAGTACAATGAATAATAATCAGGACGCACGCCGCACGGCAGCATACTCATGAGAATGTTGGAGGAAAGACAAATTGGAATGGAACAGTGGGCCCAGGGGCAACAGCCGCTGGATGGAGCGGCGGCGGTGAAGAACGGCCACATAAGTGTACTTCTACCATCCCGATTGTGCATCGACCCGAGCGCATGCATCACCCCCCTCTACCAGTTCTCCTTTATCATCTTTTCATCCTTCTTCCTCTTCTTGCTTCCAGCGAAATCAGGACCTGGGGAACAAGGAACACCACCACCCGCCGCGGCCAAACCAGTAGCGGCGAAACCGGTGCCAACGAAGGAGGCGACAACGACGGTAGCAACGACGACCTCATCTGGTGGTGGTGGTGGTGGTACGGGCCGTGCTGCCGCTGCCGGACCGAAGGAAGGAGTGCAGACTGCCCCAGCAGGGGAATGTCAAGGGGACAGATTATTGGAGTGGAAGCATAAGACAGTGTACGTGGTGAAAAGTTATAGTGTAAGTTAGAGTAAACGCCGCGACATACACGATATACACAACAGGGACCAAGTGACAGGACGCATGCATACATCAGGCAGATACGTATATGCAAGTGCAGGTGCAGGTGCAGGTGCATTAGAGAGGACGAGTGCGACTGAAGTACTAACACGCATATTTCTTTATGTTTATATGAAAAATATAGGCAGAACAATGGAAAAAGGTGAAGACGGTGCTGGATGCGTTTAAGAACTACATGCAGCAAGGAAAACAGCATATGGATGCATACGGTGCCAACTGTTATAATGTAGGCTGGGATGATTTCAAGGAAGATGGGCATTATTTCAAGGGCCAAACAGTAGCGGACGTAGTACGGTGCAGACTTATGAGTGTTGCACTCGGATGGGCAAATGGCTGGAACAACAGTAAACAGGACAAACATAAACAGGAGAAGAACCAGACAGAGAAGGGAATGGAAGAGAGGCTACGGTGTGAAGTAGTGAATGTATTTGGACATCTACTGCGAGCAAATTATTGTCCCGACCAGAAACACTGGAGACGAGGTACAGAGTATGCTTTTCAGACATTCACGCAGATGAAGACCCCGCCACAAGGTGGAGCTCCAGGCATTGAGGGTCCTGTTGTCGACGGACTGTGTACCATGTGTGGGTATGGACATAAAATGCAGCACGTAGACGCCGCAGATTTGGACATAGTAAACTGGTTAATGCAGGACGGGAACATATTGGCAGGAATGGATAAAATAGAAGACGGGGCTGACTGTAATACGAAGTGGGCGCAATATACAGCAACCAAGAGGAAGGCTAATGACAACAGTAAAGTGGACGAAACGCAAATCCCTGAAATAAAAGAAACCGAGAAGAAGATAGTGCAGGAAGCAACAAGGGTAATTGAGAAGGCCAAGGAAGTAGTGGATTCGAAAATTAGGGAATTGGAAGGTAAGAACACGGTTCGTAGGAACACGCGTACGTATATGAATACGCCCGCATACGAACACACAGACGCACACAATTACGGCAAGCACGACTGCTGATGGATGCCACCATCACCACAACACCACGCGCTCGCGGCGGAACAGCACCACACTTCGTTGACGTTGAGCAGCGACGAGTGTGTAGACGACTGTGGAGTGTAGACCAGTGTGGACGAGCGTACCGCGTAGCGATGACGAGTATGGAGTGTACGGAATGTATGGATATAAGGGAATTATATGTGCATAGTTTGTTATAAAATCTTTAGAGAAAGTCTAAGGGCACAAGGCACAAGAGCGGGGCTATAGCAATGGAGATAGTGGCACACATGATAAGAACAGCTTATTCTTATCTATTCAGGGCTTTGCATAATGCGTTACTGTCCTTTTATTGCTGTCGTCTAATCGTTTCTCGTTTTGTCAAAGGGTTCATGAACCTATACATCCTTATGTAACGCTACTTCCCCCTTTTTCTTTTCTTTCCCCTGCTCTCCTTTAGGGGAAGTAAGTGCTTTGCGAAAACTGCATCACCCTACAACTTCCTTATTATTAAGGACGTGTAGAATACTCCATAAGAAACTTCATACGTTAGATTTAAACTTTATGCTTCGCCATACAGTATATGCAACGAGAAACATCTTTCTACCTATTTGTGTAATATAATGATTGCGCAGACTATCATTTAGGATAATTTAGTCACCTAATATTAAAATATTAAATATTTGTACACAAGAAGTGTATGCATGCAATATTAGCTTAATGTATATGTACCCATATATTTATAATGGTTTTCATTATAAAGAAAAAAAGCCCTAAATTCTAAAGCGCATTTAAACAATTGTGAACACAAGAACAAGAACAAACATGATAGAACTAATATTTATGCATGGCTTAAAATACCCCTTGTGCTTTTAGGCATAAATGCATTAGATATTTTTCATTTTTCAATACAAAAGAACATATTTAAAATGTACGTTTTGTTGTTTTTACTAATACACTAGGGTACATCTATTTCTTTTTTTTTAATTTAACACACGGCATACATAAATTCCCGTATTCACATATTATATTCCGGTTCCACTAATATACAAGAAAAAGAAAAAATAAAATTTAAATAAAAAATTACTTGTGCTTTATACAAAATTATTTGCTCTCTTTTCATAAATGAAATCCTCAGTTTCCTTATTACATATGTTTTAACAAGCATAAGAACACATTAAATGTTATAAGAACACATGACCCTTCGTAAAGTAAGAAATGAAGGACACCAATTGATAAGAAATTATCAAAACAAAAAAAAAAGAACACTTCCACCATGAATAAAATTCAAACTCCAACTTGTTCCGCACGCATTTTCGATACATTAAAAAAGCCCATTTACAACAATAAACGGTAACAGCCGAGACATGTAATCTAAAATTCCACTTGTGCGCTATGTTTGCAATCTTCCACGAAATATTCCACAGGAATATTCTTAATGTAACAAGTATATAATTTCATATAGCATGTACGCTTATTCTATGCTTATCTGCTTTATACAACCTGAATGTTCTCACTTCACAGGGTGTACATTTCATTCTGAACATTTTTTATTACAATGTTTTAAAATAAACATCGCGTTGTTCTTGTATTAGAGAACAATATATATAGTGCACCTTTTCTGGGGCCATTTATTCCATGAACCTTGAGCAATGGAATCCTAAACCCCTAAAACCCTAACCCCACACCCTGCAAAAGTTGCACTTAATCTCTTAATTGATTTTTAATTTTTTTTTTATTTTTCTTAATTTTACCCTTAACTCCCTGGTTCCTTTCACGTTTAACACTAAACTAATTGAAAAATTGGGAGCAAAGCCATTAGTTCCCATTTGCATAATACCAAATTCCCATTTAAACAACTATAAACATTAATAAAACGAGGAATAATACGAATTGGTATACTATATTATTAATCACTTCTACTTAAACCTTGTGACTCTGCATCTGTCTTTTCTTCAATTTTTTAGTAAACTTCTCCAAAAAGTATGTTTCAAGGAAATTCCGCATACTTTATATTTTTATATTTTTAGAAAAGCAGAATCAGCTCTTTTCTATGCTTTAGAACGCAGCAATCTCCGTGGAGTATTACACTATTATGTAGAAATGCAAAACCAACAGTAGAACTACTCAAAACATGATGCTAAAAAAAAAAAAGGAATGCACATATATAAATTATGCCTCAGTATATTTAATTCCTTACCTTTTGTAGACACTGTAATTTCTATATAAGAAAAACATATATATATATTCTCGTTCACATATCACAAATAGTATTATACTTAGAAAACAGAAGGAACTGTAGGACCTCGTATATTTCTTAAGTATAACGATCCATAGCAACATGCCACACCTACACAAAAAACAAACATCGTCCAGCGCCCTTTCACAAGGAACACTGCAATCCCCAAATAGCAAAAGCGTCTGCGCATCCAGGAAACGAAGTGAAACACATGACAAAAAGGCACACATGTCCTTCTTCTCCAAAAAATTTGCTCTCCTTTTTGTTGTTTGTGCGTATATCTTTTTAAAGGTGAGTCCACCAAAAAAAAAGACAAATGTATGTTCGTACAGATGTGCGCAACTACTGGAATGTTTCGCGCTCGGCTATATAAATGCCACATGTATCGTATATATACTACTGCATGTATATTTGCTGCTTCCCCTTTCTACGTTCCTTCGTGTTATGTCGTATGTGCCCATTCTGTTATTAACTCATGCACACACACACGCACACCCTTTATCTCGTGCCTTTCGTTCGCAGCACCAGGATGACATTGCAACAAACAACACTGCTGCTTCCACATTACAAATAAAGAACAATGTTGCTAGAAATTTAGCTATGACAATTGAAGAAGCAACTCCATCAACACATAAGTCTCAACTAGAACATATCGCGCGCGTCGACAGTGAACATACCGGGGACCACGTTCCTGCAGGACTAACGCAAGGCGTAGGGCATCTAGAACAGGAGGACGCATCCTACGGTAGCTACCTGCAGGACCGTTACGATGTAACAAAGCATGGTGATGACTCTAGCTCACGATCTAGAAAGAGTAGTCTCCGCGACAGTTCAAAGAAGAAATCGAAAAGTACGATGGATCGTGGTAACGTGGACAAATCCAACGCATCTTTAAACTTGAATAATTTTGCGGATAATAACGGGGAAAGAACATTTGATGCATCAACGAATTTTGGGAGCACAGAGAGTCTATTGGAAGAACGAGCCGATGATGATGATTTTGGTCATGACAGAAAGTTTGGCGCATCCGCGCATTTTGGCAGCATGGATAGTATATTCGAGAAAGGAGCCGATGACGATCATGTTAGCGATGACACGAAGATTGGTGAATCCACGCATTTTGGCAGCACGGACAGTATATTCCCAGAAGGAGCCGATGCAGACGATTCTAACAGAATCCAGGAAATTACAGAATCCGTGACCTTTGACAGCACGCACAGTCTGTTCGACAAACGGGATTATAATGATGTCGAAGAAAAAAAAGAATGGTTGCATCATCAGAATATCATAATACGGCTACCACACTTTCTACTACAGACGGATTGCATGTACACGTCGACGTTAGGAGTTATGCACACGGTGCACGACAGAAGCATACACTCTATTGCAGTCACCGTGGCGATTCCCTGAGACATGTCGCATTGGATGACACGTCTGGAACAGCGGATTCTGCGCTTGTTTTACACAGGACGTTACCATACTTACACCATAATGCACAAGGTATGAACACGTGCACAACACCTCGGGGATTTTTCCATACGTTTGCACATGATATACGGACAGAGCATAGCTGGATCTCTTTCGTTGTGGGCATTTGTGTTTTTGTTATAGTACTATCGCGGTTCTTCCTTCCATTCACGGGTCCACTGGCGTTTATCATGTACTTCACTACGGGCACATTGAGCGCAGGCATTATGACGCTGATCGTACTGTTCCAATTTTACAACCACAGACACATATTAAGGGTGCTCAATACAACCTTACAGCACAGCAGTCCCTCAGGCCGCAACAATAGGTGCACATGACCTGAAGAATCATAAGGCCTGTACTTATTCCACTTTTTATAGATAATTTTAATGTTATTGTATTATTTTATACATTCATTTGATTCACCCTCTTACAGTATTCTGGAGGCACTGTACGGACCGGGTTATTTCTACTGTAGTATGTACCTTATACTTCCGCTTTAAATTATAATATTGTTTGTTTGTTCTCTTTTCCGGCCATACGTGGTTTTTACATATATTATATAGTTTTTTTATGTAATGCGTTCTTCCTTTGTATTACAGAGGACAACATTGTTTAACAGGGACTACATCTCCTACCGTGATCCGTATACCAATATATATATGTGTGCACATACACACATATTTGTATATTTATAGGTCATAGTTCTTTACCTAGTGTATGCAACATATATTACGTAATTATTACCGTGGATACATTGTGCATCTCGTATCTTCATCATATGACAGAATCTTGTTTTCCTGTTCTACAAGGAACTTGCCGCAGGATTCATATTTCTCTTGGACACTACAATTATTTACACCATAACACGGCCATTCACTGATGTAACATCAGCATCCGCTACGGGAACACGGGTCACATCAATACCTTCGCTAACGCATACAGCACAGCAACTTCTGTAAACCCTACGCTCCTTGTATATTCTTCACGTAAGCGCATGAAGCACATATGTACATTGTTATATAATTATACATGTGTGCAGATGACTGTCTTACTGTTTGCACGTAATTATATATATTTCTTTATATATGCATACTCGTCCCATATAATTGGTAGTGCCCCTTCAGCCTATACGAGTAAATATAACATTTGTGCACTGACACGTTAATAACATGCACCCGGGAATTCCATACCCAGGCGCACTAACCCTGGAACATTAAATCATAATACACAGAACCTTCTACCTTGAACATTGCACCTTCCACCTTAACACCCCCAAAAGTTGATACAATCCCTGAACCCCTTGTAAACCTTGAACCCATACATCCCACTATGCACGTCCTTTTACACATTTAATTGCTATAGGCAGGAAAGGTTCGTACACAAGGGCAGCTCCTTTATCAAATAGGCATTTAAATGACATTCATCCCCTCGTCGCCCGAAGCATTAATACACCATGTGACAAAAAAACAAAAGGAAAGGGGTATAGGACAATATGCATAATGGAGAACTGCTGCTATATTATATTATTGTTTTTTTTTTTGCCATGCTCACAAACAACAGGAACGAATTGTGCTATCAATAACGCCACTTGAAAAACTATGCTTGAATAATTTTAACACAGAAATAAAGGAAGCAAGAAAAAAAAAGTAATATTTTATTACGTCCCAATAAATATTTCTGTACACAATACGACAAAATGCAATAACCGGTTCCTTGTATTATATGTTGTTCATGGGTATTACTAATTCGTACATGTGCATCTAGTTTGCTTTCGCGGGTGAGAGGGGGAAACTGTTCCGCCTCTTTAAATTCATATTTTTGCCAAAATGCTCAAATTTTAAATTCTATTTATTAATTAAATAAAATTCATGTTCATAACAGGTACCCAGTTACACTTTTATTAATTATATAAAAATTTATATAATGAGAAAAAAAAAAAAAAAAAAAAAAAAAAAAA